CTTTTAGATTTGTAGTTGCAGTTTGCACTTCAGGGCCACCGTAGAAGACAGATGGAGGCAGCAACAATCAGGTAATCTACCTGAAATATTTTTACTACGGGAGAACAATGATCTGGAAAGTAAACTGGCATATCGTAACGCTGGGTGAGCTGCAGAGACCCACTGCTGAGGTTAGGTTTCATAAATCTAACTTTATGGAAAAGTAGCAAAAAGAAAGATTACTGAAAGAAAGACAAAAATAGCAAGAAGGTAATCTGGTTAGATGAGGCACACATCAACAATGTTGTTAAACCAAAAAAAAAAAACTGTATACTTTAAATAAAAACATCTCCTCAAAGGTGGTGGATCAGTAACACATGCCAGACTTTCCAGAGTTAAGTGTCCTTTTCTTTCAAATCATCCGGTGCTTTGTTTTAAGAGATATAAACACTTTGCGGTTTGTTGTGCAACCTGACAACATTTGGAGAAGTGCAAGGAATGCAGACACTTTTACGCTGCACTATTGGATCATGTCATTTGAAAAAACGAAGCTGCCGTAAGGGCAGGAAGGTGTGGATATTTTTGGTGGCGGCGAAATGAGAGAAATAATAACTAAGACATGCGATTATGTAACTGAAGTCTGCATGTTGCATCACACCGCTACAGTAAATCGAGCCTCGGAAAGCTGAGGAGCGCCATGCAGCTGCATCTCATAACACGGAATTGAAAAATCGCCGACGTGAAGAAATCATGGGAGGAATCCAGGCAGAGCAATTGGTATGAGAAAATGAATCAGACTGAGAACAGGACGGCAGTGAGATGTGTGCGTTGCTGACCTACAAAACTGATCTGCTTCCCATGGCAGCAGGAAGCCCTTCAACCTTCAGCAAACTAACACAGAAAGGTGGCAGCAGGATTCCTCCGACTATTAGCATCTATCTGAGCTTTGAGACATTCTGCTCTCACCTCTTTTTAGCAGCCATGTGTTCTTTTGTAGGAAGGGCTGCTTTATGATTTCAGTGTCTAGCTCATGTTTTCTATAATCCATCATACTACTCTTACCACTAATAACTGTTACTGCCAATGCCCTAACATACAAAATAACATAAGTGTCTCCTAATCTATTAATGTTTTATTTTTCATTTATTATCAAATAAAATCAGTTCAGTGTTTGCAACCGCAGGACAGACAATGACTTTAGGCAGCTTGAATTATTCTCTTAGCAATTCTACCAAATTTTCTTAAATTGTTTTGCAAAGACAACTTCTTAAAGACCCTTTCTGTGCCCGTTGTATACGATATTATTTGGAGGCCCCAAATACGTTTAATAAATGTTAAATAAATGTTAAAATACAAATATCTAGTCATGATCCAGTTATTCTGGTCTGCCTGTGAAAGCAAAGCTGTTGGGCTATCAGCTAGCTGTGGGAAATCAATTCCCAGAGCTATATTGGCTAGACAGGACAGACACACACACTGAAAACGGTGTTTATAAAGGTATAGGGCCTCTGGCTTCATGATTTAAGGTTGACATTAGTATTTATTTAATCTGTTAAATTAAACAATTAATAATCCCCAGCACCACAATGGATTCCTTCATCCTGAATTAAAATCTGCAGCGACCCAGATTTACACCCTAGATGTCCTCTAAGAAAACATTTTCAGATAGATGAGACAAAGATTGAGTTATTTTGCTTAAATGAAAATAGCTTTATTTCGTCTTTAGAGCTTTGGAACTCTAGCTGTCAGGCACAGTGATGGAGGCATTGTGCTGAGGGGTTATTTTGCCGATTGTTGTTCTGATTCTTTGAAAAAGTTGATGCATAATAAGAGAAAAGAGGAATACAAAAAAATGGGTTCTGGGATGAATGACTCAGGATTACAAACAAACTGAAACAACACTTCACAAAAATGTGAGGTCAAATGTTCAACTCGAATCATATAAGATGCAGGGGATATCTGAAAAAAATTCTTTTGTGAGCTGAAATTTAAAAAGGGGCATTTACCAAATTGTCTTTGTGAGCAGTCATGTGTATATGTTTATAATTTACCCCGTATTCATTAGTTTTATTATTTGGATTAAAAAAAAAAACTGCTACAATGTTGACTTGTGCACCAAGTTCTGGTTTTACCAACTAATTTTGATGATAATTTGGCTGTTTTTCCAGCTGGCATGCATGTGCCTGATGCAGGCAGACTGATCCAACTTTGACCCGGTCAGTTCTGGTTCTGTAGTTGTTGGAGTTATTATGATTTCTGTTGTTTTTATCATTTTATTCATTTATATGTTTTATATTGCTTTTAATCATTTATATGTTCTATATGTTACTCTCATCATTGGAAATAGTGTATGAAGGCCATTACACCTGCTGTTGTAATGTGTTGACTGCTCAATAAAAAGCCTGGCAAGTGTTGAGCCAAGCGGAGATGCAGAGATTGATGGTTGAACACTGTCTCCCCTTTGCAAAGCATTTCAGGAAAAATCTTACACAGTCTTTGTTTCATTTTTTTATAGGTTAAAGTTGGGGAAACTTAACAACCCTAACAGTAGTGTGAAGTGTTGTTCCTCTGTAATGGTTCTCTTTTACTTACACTCCACTGAAAGCTTCAGCATTTCAGCCCACGGCCGGTCCTGCGTCCGCTGGTCCACCAGGCAGGTCACCTCTCTGCCGTTATCTGCTGCTGTTGGGACCAGCCTGTACTCGCTGCGGATGGTCACCGTGCCGTCCGGCCCGTTTGTGGTGGTCGTCGAGTGGTTGCCGCCGACCGAAGCCAGCCACTTGATGGAAGCTGCCGGTTTCCCTTCTGCTGCCACACACTCCGCCACCACCACCGATTTACTGCCAGCCCGGACCGTCACGGCTCTGGCCGAGTTCTTGGGTTTGGCTGGGATGGAGAAAAGGGTGAGGAGATGGAAACAAAGGAGGAGATGATGAAATATAGGGACAGAAAAAAAAAAACAAGAATGATTAAACTTTTTGAAATATCCTACCATTACTATAAATCAAATCTTAAACAAAACCTGTGTTGAGGAATTTATTTTATCCACATATGCATTCATTAGATCATAGATGCCCTTCTTGTTGCATTAATTTCAGTCAAACTTTTCACAAAGTTGGATCAAACCCAACAGAGGGATCTGTGATAGTTCTCAGTTTAACTTGAGTAGTTCTATTTTTTTTAAACAAGATTTTCTGGTGAAGATTCTCAGTCATCCAGGTCATAGTCATTCCAAAAAAGTTAATTCACTGGACTTCGTTTCCAAGTTTAAAGACTTTTCACTTTCCATCCAGGAATCTTTTTCAATTCAAAATGTCATACTTAGCAATGAGTTCGAAGCTGTATAGTGTGGACAAAAAACAAAGCCTTGTTTTAACTTAGAAAACATGCAAATTGAACCAGAAGAACTATGGTTCTATGCCTAACGACCCCCCTTTAAGAGGAGAAGTCCAGTATCTGGTATTGCAGGCTAACAGTACGGAGCTCCTCTGATGACATGGTCAAAAAAAAATTTTATTTGTGGCCACGAAGTAGTAGTGCGCACGAAATACTACTTCGTGGCCACGCAATAAGTATAACGTGCGCACGAAATACTA